GGATTATACTCCTTTGCATGATCCTCTAAACAATATGTTAACAATATGTTGACAATATGACAGAGGGTTAGATTATACTCCCTTGCTAGAACTATGATCTCAAGTATACCCTGAGAGAATTGGTTTCTATCTTGGTGAAGAGGGTTTAAAGCTGACTCTGATTGAGTAAAGATATATTGTTGAACCTTGCTCTGCTCCTGTATAGACTGATAATTGGAGTAAAGACTAGAAACCAACCTAACCGCATCCTCAGCTCTATTTCTGTCGTTTCCGTTTTCTGGAGAGGGTTGGGGTTCCGGCTGGATTTGGGACTGCTCCAGTATCCGTCGTTGGGACTGGAGCTTTCGCACCAAGGAGCTTCTCCAGGACTCCAGTAACTTTAACCCTCTCAACTTAAAAAAATAAACAAATTAAAAAAAGGGGGGGGCGACTTTTTGACACAAAATTTAGCAGAGGCTTGTTTTAAAAAGTAACAAAGAAGGCTGAAATTTTGCCAACAGTTCCCGACTATAGTAATTTACACAGATCACAAAAAAATATAAAAATATTAAATACATCGAAAGAATTTATGAAATGTCGTCTTGACAATTATTCAATGGGTTTTATACTATTTTACGTACATCTCAGTATTTGCAAAAATAAATAAATAGCCATGAATATGCGTTTTAAAGAACTCCATGCAATCAATTAATTAAACAACTAAATATCTACAACATTCCATTATCAAAAAGTGAAGAATGCGACATTTGATAAATTCTTGCGATGAATTCAATATTTAGGGTTAAACAGTATACAAGTCCAATTTTAATAGATTTAATACAGTCGCCGTTGTATATATAAATACAATAAAGACAACTTTCTATTTTAATTTTGATTTCTATAAAGCTTTCAAACAGCAGAAAGAGTCAAACAATTGAAGAAAGAGAAAATGTCTTTTAACAGAGCGTCTCAATTTATTTACTTGCAAACTAGATAATAGAATAGATTGAAGGGAGCAGAGTCACATTTCTAGATAACAGAATAGGTTGAAGGGAGCAGGGTCACATTTGTAGATAATAGAATAGATGGAAGGGAGCAGAATCACATTTCTAGATAATAGAATAGATAGAAGGGCGCAGGATCACATTTCTAGATAATAGAATCGATAGAAGGGAGCAAGGTCACATTTCTAGATAATAGAATAAATAGAAGGGAGCAGGGTCACATTTCTAGATAATAGAATAGATTGAAGAAAGCAGGGTCACATTTATAGAAAATAGAATAGATTGAAGGAAGCAAGGTCACATTTCTAGATAATAGAATAGATATTAGGGAGCAGGGTCACATTTCTAGATAAAAGAATAGATTGAACGGAGCAGGATCACATTTCTAGATAATAGAATATAAAGAAGGGAACAGGGTCCATTTCTAGAAAATAGAATAAATTGAAGGGAGCAGGGTCCATTTCTAGATAATAGAATAGATTGAAGGGAGCAGGGTCACATTTCTAGATGATATAATAGATTGAAGGGAGCAGGATCACATTTCTTGATAATAGAATAGATTGAAGGGAGCAAGGTAACATGTCTAGATAATAGAATAGATAAAAGGGAGCAGGGTCACATTTCTAGATAATAAAATAGATAGAAGGGAGCAGGGTCACATTTCTTGATAATAGAATAGATTGAAGGGAGCAGGGTCACATTTCTAGATAATAGAATAGGTTGAAGGGAGCAGGGTCACATTTCTAGATAATAGAATAGATAGAAGGGAGCAGAGTCACATTTCTAGATAAAAGAATAAATAGAAGGGAGTAGGGTCACATTTCTAGATAATAGAATAGGTTGAAGGGAGCAGGGTCACATTTCTAGATAATAGAATAGATAGAAGGGAGCAGGGTCAAATTTCTAGATAATAGAATAGGTTGAAGGGAGCAGGGTCACATTTATAGATAATAGAATAGATAGAAGGGAGCAGGGTCACATTTCTAGATAATAGAATAGACAGAAGGGAGCAGGGTCACATTTATAGATAGTGAAATAGATAGAAGGGAGCAGGGTCACATTTCTTGATAAGAAAATAGATTGAAGGGAGCAGGGTCACATTTCTTGATAATAGAATAGATTGAAGGGAACAGGATCACATTTCTAGATAATAGAATAGATAGAAGGGAGCAGGGTCACATTTCTAGATAATAGAATAGATAGAAGGGAGCATGGTCACTTTTTTAGATAATAGAATAGATTGAAGGGAGCAGGGTCACATTTCTAGATAATAAAATAGATTGAAGGGAGCAGGATCACATTTCTAGATAAAAGAATAGATTGAAGGGAGCAGGATCACATTTCTAGATAATAGAATAGATTGAAGGGAGCAGGATCACATTTCTAGATAATAGAATAGATAGAAGGCAGCAGGGTCACATTTCTAGAAAATAGAATAGATATTAGGGAGCAGGGTCACATTTCTAGATAATAGAATAGATTGAAGGGAGCAGGATCACATTTCTAAATAATAGAATAGATTGAAGGAAGCAAGGTCACATTTCTAGATAATAGAATAGATTAAAGGGAGCAGGGTAACATTTCTAGATGATAGAATAGATTGAAGGGAGTAGGGTCACATTTCTAGATAATAGAATAGATAGAAGGCAGCAGGGTCACATTTCTATATAATAGAATAGATAGAAGGGAACAGGGTCACATTTCTAGATAATAGAATAGATTGAAGGGAGCAGGGTCACATTTATAGATAATAGAATAGATAGAAGGGAACAGGATCACATTTCTAGATTACAGAATAGATAGAAGAGAACAGGATCGCAATTCTAGATAAAAGAATAGATTCCAGAAATGTGACCCTGTTCCCTTCAATCTATTCTATTATCTAGAAATGTGTCCCTGCTCCCTTCTATCTATTATATTATCTAGAAATGTGACCCTGTTCCCTTCTATTTATTCTATTATCTAGGAATGTGACCCTGCTGCCTTCCATCTTTTCTATTATCTAGAAATGTGATCCTGCTCTTTTCTATCTATTCTATTATCTAGAAATGTGATCCTGCTTCATTCAATCTATTCTATTATCTAGAAATGTGACCCTCCTTCCTAATATCTATTATATTATCTACAAATGTGACCCTGCTCCCTAATATCTACTCTATTATCTAGAAATGTGACCCTGCTCCCTTCTATCTATTCTATTATCTAGAAATGTGATCCTTCTCCCTTCAATCTTTTCTATTATCTAGAAATGTGACCCTGCTCCCTTCTATCTATTCTTTTATCTAGAAATGTGATCCTTCTTCCTTCAATCTATTCTATTATCTACCAATGTGACCCTGCTCCTTTCAATCTATTCTTTTATCTAGAAATGTGATCCTTCTCCCTTAAATCTATTCTATTATCTAGAAATGTGACCCTGCTCCCTTGAATCTATTATATTATCTAGAATTGTGACCCTGCTCCCTTCAATCTATTATATTATCTAGAAATGTGACCCTGTTCCCTTCTATTTATTCTATTATCTAAGAATGTGACCCTGCTGCCTTCCATCTATTCTATTATCTAGAAACGTGACCCTGCTCCCTAATATCTATTCTATTATCTAGAAATGTAACCCTGCTCCCTAATATTTATTCTATTATCTAGAAATGTGATCCTGCTCCCTTCAATCTATTCAATTATCTAGAAATGTGACCCTGCTTCCTAATATCTATTCTATTATCTAGAAATGTGACCCTGCTCCCTTCAATCTATTCTATTATCTAGAAATGTGACCCTGCTCCCTAATATCTATTCTATTATCTAGAAATGTGACCCTGCTCCATAAAATCAATTCTATTATCAAGAAATGTGATTCTTCACCCTTCAATCTATTCTATTATCTAGAAATGTGATTCTTCACCCTTCAATCTATTCTATTATCTAGAAATGTGACCGTGCTCCCTTCTATCTATTCTATTAAGTAGAAATGTGACCCTACTTCCTAATATCTATTCTATTATATAGAAATGAGACCCTGCTCCCTAATATCTATTCTTTTATCTAGAAATGTGACCCTGCTCCCTTCAATCTATTCTATTATCTAAAAATGTGACCCTGCTCCTTTCAATCTATTATATTATCTAGAAATGTGATCCTTCTCCCTTTAATCTATTCTATAATCTAGAAATGTGACTCTGCTCCCTTCAATCTATTCTATAATCTAGAAATGTGACTCTGCTCCCTTCAATCTATTCTATTATCTAGAAATGTGACCCTGCTCCCTTCTATCTATTCTATTATCTAGAAATGTGATCCTTCTCCCTTATATCTTTTCTATTATCTAGAAATGTGATCCTGCTCTTCTATCTATTCTATTATCTAGAAATGTGATCCTGCTCCCTTCTATCTTTTCTATTATATAGAACTGTGAACCTCCTCCCAAATATCTATTCTATTATCTAGAAATGTGACCCTGCTCCCTAATATATATTCTTTTATCTAGAAATGTGACCCTGCTTCCTAATATCTATTCTATTATCTAGAAATGTGACCCTGCTCCCTTTAATCTATTCTATCATCTAGAAATGTGACCTTGCTCCCTTCAATTTATTCTATTTTCTAGAAATGTGATCCTGCTCCCTTCTATCTATTCTATTATCTAGAAATGTGACCCTCCTCCCTAATATCTATTCTATAATCTAGAAATGTGACCCTTCTCCCTAATATCTATTCTTTTATCTAGAAATGTGACCCTTTTCCCTAATATCTATTCTATTATCTAGAAATGTGACCCTACTCCCTAATATCTATTCTATTATATAGAAATGTGACCCTGCTCCCATCAATCTATTCTATTATCTAGAAATGTGACCCTGCTCCCTTCAATCTATTCTATTATCTAGAAATGTGACCCTGCTCCCTTCAATCTATTCTATTATCTAGAAATGTGACCCAGCTCCCTTCAATCTATTCTATTATCTAGAAATGTGACCTTGCTCCCTTCATACTATTCTATTATCTAGAAATGTGACCTTGCTTCCTTCAATTTATATAAAAACTTACCACTGGTTTCAGCAATCTCTCCTCCTCCAACTGGGGCTGCTAGTTGAGTAGATCTATTTCATCCTCCAACTGGGTCTGCTAGTAGAGTAGATCCTTTTCCTCCAACTGGGCCTGCTAGTAGAGTATTTTTATCTCCTGCAACCGGGGCTGCTAGTAGAGTAGATCTATCTCCTCCTCCAACTGGGTCTGCTAGTAGAGTAGATCCTTCTCCTCCTTCAACTGGGCCTGCTAGTACAGTAGATATATCTCCTCCATCTGGGTCTGCTAGTACAGTAGATCCTTCTCCTCCAACTGGGACTGCTAGTAGAGTAGATCTATCTCCTCCTCCAACTAGGTCTGCTAGTAGAATAGATCTATCTTCACCTCAACAGGGCCTGCTAGTTGATTAAATCTATCGTCTGATGCAACTGAGCCTGCTAGAAGAGTAATCTCCTTCACCAACTGGACCTCCTAGCATAGTAGATAATCTACCTCCTGATTCTGAACCCGTAAAGTATCCATCTCCTGTGTCAAAAGTTGCTAAGTATTCATCGCATGTTTCAAAAGTTGCAGTGTTATCATCTCCTTTTTCATAAGCAACACTGTATCTATCCATCTCTTGTTCCAGAAGTAGCAGAGTAGCTATATTCTCGTCCGTAAATCCAATAGAATCCAACTGTGATGTCATGTCATGTGGATGTATGTTAATTTGGTTGCTTGGTTCATGGTCAGATTCTGTTTCTAGATTGCAACAGGCTTCTTCTAACTGGTCGAATTCATCAAAACGCTCAATCTTAAAAATATGATCTATTATAATACTTTTTAACCACAAACATCTCGTCCGTTGCACCCAAACTCGTCCCCTGCGCCCCAGTCTCGTCCCCTGCGCCCAAGAATTCTGCCCTGCGCCCCAGACTGGTCCCCTGTGCCCCAGAGTGGTCCTCTGCGCCCCAGACTCGTCCCCTCTGCCCCAGATTCGTCCCCTGAGCCCAAGACTCGTCCCCTACTCCCCAGACTCGTCCCCTACTCCCGAGACTCGTCCCCTACTTNCATTCAATAAATTTGCCTACTTGAATAAATAGTTCAACCCCGCCAAAAAATAGCTCACAAAAGCTAAAATATAGTTCAAATGTGCAAAAATATAGTTCAAATGTGCAAAAATATAGTTCAAATGAGCAAAAATATAGTTCAAGTGAGTAAAAAATTAGTTCATATGATCAATAGTTAAAACGGCAGTAGTTCAAATGCGGATCCACCGTTTGTGGAGTAGGGGACTTTAATTCACTTCAATTTATATAGAATAATATGAAGGTAAAAATGTGTCTTACCTTATTTACTTGATTAGAGATTAATTCAGATTCTTGATTACAGATTAAGCCAAGGAGCTCAGGTTCTTGATTACATACAAATCCAGGGAGCTGAGATTCTTGATCCAACCTAGAAAGAGGAGTTCAAATGTGGTGTCCAATAATCTTTTGAAAATCTGTGTTGTGCTTGTGGGGGTTGGGGGTTGGAAGGTTTTAAAAAAAATATCGACTTCTGCGAGTTATTTGTTAAAAATGAAAAGTTCTTCTCTTACCCTTTAGAGACTAGTTTTCTCCCACAGTTCTCAAGTTCAGCAAATAAGGTCGTCTTACTAACTGGGACTGGGTTGACTAGTAGTTGTAGTCTACGTTTCTCAATCTTCTTTGAATTATGGTCAGGTACATTATAAAAGTTTTCCTTCTGTGTGTCGTCTTTTTCTACTTGAAAAGTGTTTAAGTTCTTCTCGGAAGAGTTTTCATTTATCATTCGTCCTACTGGTATAGCGTTTTTCTTCCCTGATTTATCTGCAGTTAGTGCAGGAAGAGGATTTAACTTCTTTCCGTTGTCTGATAATTTAGATAAAGCAGTTCTGGCCTTCTTTGAAGGAAGGTCTGGCACAACATTTGCCTGGTTTTCAAACAGAGCCCGCTTTACTCGAGCTTTCTTCCTCGACTTCTATAAAAGAAAAATGGAGATAAAATTCAAGCACAAGGCTAAGAATGAAACATGTACGCCTGAACAAAATCAAGACTAATTAAATGCGAGATCGGCTAAGGAAAAGCTGGTCGGTTAAAGGGAGACAAGTTTACTACACAGATTGTGGGGTAATAGATTTAGGGGTGTTTGTTTTTCAGGTCACTTTTAGTACAGAGATGCAAGGTCGCCAAAAAGTTGCAAAATTTTACAAGATTTTTAAAAATAATCGTTTGAAAATTTTGAAATTTTTTTTTCAGGGCACGTCAATTGATTGAAATTGAACCTTTTCCGTTTTTTTTTTCACAAAAATTGTTATTATGATTACTAACCTGTACAATATGAAATGGTTAGCCAATGTTAGTAATCATAATACAACTAGACCGTTTCTTCTAGTAACAGGTTAGTAATCATAATACAACTACACCATTTCTTCCAGTAAAGTTTAGTAATCATAATACAACTAGACAATTTCTTCTTGTATACAGGTAATCATAATACAACTGACAATTTCTTATTGTACAGGTTAGTAATCATAATACAACTTTTTTGTGTATATTTTAGACATGTTTATCGCTATAATACTGATATGCATGTTGATAACTAAACTAAGGATGGTCATATTACAATTTTTGTGAAAAAAGAAAAAAGGTAAAATTTCAATCAATTGGTGCACCCTGAAAAAAAATTTAAAAATTGTTTTAAAATTATTTTTGAAAATTTTTGATTTCCTGAAAAAAATAGTAGCTCATGGCTGCCGGAAGACAAAAAAGCTAATATGTGGCATGGAAGGGGAAATATTGGTGGCTCATGGCCGCATGCCTTCCCCTGGTCACACTATACGCCAAAATGTGTATAAACTTTTCAGCGTTGCTCATTTTTCATTTGCACGGTTAAGAAAAATATCTTCTATCTAGCCATGATTGATTTAAAAAAGAATACACTGTAGCAATTGGAATTTTTACAAGTACATCCATAAAACAGGAGTTCTCAAAAAAAAACGTTGTTTTGTTAACTTTTCTCAATGATCTAACTTATTATATCTTTAAAACCCTTCCAACCTTTTATCAAATACATTTAAACTTCATGATTTTATTCTGGCCCACCATATAAAACAATACTTTTTTGTATTGAATTATGATACAAAAATACCATCAGAATTGCAATGAAAGATTGAAAAAAATGCACTCAACAGATTTACTCTTACGGGCAGGAGGACTTTTTAACTACAAAAGGATGACATATTTCCTTAATTAATTGTGAGAAAGAATCATTCAGTACTTACAAGTATCTTCAGTGGAGTATTGGGAGACTGCTTCAGACGTGTTCCACTGTGAACTGGCGATTCCTAAATATTGACACATTTTCAAATAAGTTTAGGAAAATAAATGTTACAACATGAGTAAGAGCGCAATTTAAGCGTCACTTTTCGCATTTTTACGTAAATTTTGCGTAGAGGTTTTGGCTCTTTTTACGTCATGAAAGACGTAAAATTGCACACTTAGCTACGCAAATTTATTGGTTTTAGTAGACGTAAAATTTACTTAATAATATTATACAAATTTACGTCGAAAATGCACATTATTATTTTCTCAATAACCAAAAATTATGCAATATTTGATGCATGCAGATAGGCCATCCATCCCTGAGTACCGGTTTAGTACTCTCTCTGAACTGTTTCCATTCATCCAGAATACACGTTCAACATAGAAATTATAGCGTCTAGCTATATACTTGTATGAGAGTTATAAAACTTATATAAAACTTTTTGATATAAAATTCAGTGCATTTTCCTAATAAAAATGTTTTATTCAAAAAAATTTAAAATAATTTAAAACCCAAATCTTGACTTCTAAATGATATATTTTTAGTAAAATATTTAATCTGATCCTTATTACTTTTTTTAAATTTTACGTGAAACAAATAGAGACACCTAGCGGTGAAATTTGGTACTAAAAACCAGTGTGCTATATAGCACTGTAAATTCTCTGCCCAATTATTCCCCCCCTTCTCACCCTTATCTACATATCACACGGCTTTCTACATAATATAACATTGCTGCACTCTGCACATGCACACACACCTGGGCCACTCAATTCTTCAATATTTAAAACACTCAAAACATATGCGTAAAAAGAGCGCAATTTATACGCAATTTTAATGCTAACAAAGACAACTTAAATTCTTTTTGAAAGTTTATTTTTTCAATTTTTTTGGAAAATGCTATATATGCCGTATCGGAAATTATAGATATTTCACAAATAATTTAGATTTAGAGTTTTAGGGAATTACGCAAATTGAGCGTATTTTTACGCAATTTGTATACCTGAAATAAAATGATACACATCTCCACAAATTCATGATATTTTTACTTAAAGCTGGGTTATAAAAAATTTTCTTTAGAAAAATTAGATATTTACACTAATTTGAAATCTAGTCTTACGCAAATTTGCGTTTTAATTGCGTAATTGGAGCCAAAATAATATGCGTTTACGTTGCTTACGCAATTTGGAAAGCTGGGGGGGTGAATTTGTTCTCTAGGACAGACTCAGTCGGCTTTAGATAAAAAATAGGGAGGAAAATACTGGCCTAACAACGCTAGAAAACATTTCCTCTATAGTCTGAAATTAATTCCCTTCAGGTTTAACTGATACATATTTTTAATTACGTTTTAATTACTTTCAGGCTTCGAAAACCGAAATTTTAACCCGTTGGGGATTTTGTTTGGGGAGAGTCTGGACTGAGTTGGAAGAACTTTGGATCGGATCGAGGATGTGCAGTACGAGGTGTACCTGCTCAACCCCACATAACCAACCGACGTCGACTAGACGTCAGAGCGACGTCGTCTTTGGTCGGGCCGACGTCAACCCGACGTCGATCTGAAGTCGATTTAAAGTCGTTTAGACGTCGCCTTGACGCAAAACGCACCGTTTTCGACCTTGTAGCGACGTCAACTTGACGTCTCAGCGACCTCTTTTCGACCAACCAAACCTATACTGGCGTCGTCCCCCGTCTATAACCGACCTGGTACGACCTCTCATGACCAACTGTCGACCTACTACAACCTCTAACGACCTACACAGCGACCTCTCTACGACCAAACAAAGCTATCTGACATCGTCCTCCGTCTATGATCGACCTTCTACTACCTACTGGCAACCTACAACAACCTCCAACAACCTCCACAGCGACCTCTCTACGACCAAACAAACCTATCCTGGCGTCGTCCTTTGACCTTGATCAACCTTCCACGACCTACTGTCAACCTACTACAACTTCCTCTAGACCTACTACAGCTTTCTTTTGACCTAATACAATTTCCTTTGGACACAACTTTCTTTCAACCAACTTATAAAAGTACAATGAATATACCCATCAATCAATTGCAACTATAAACAAACCTTCAGTTAAAAAAAATGTTGTTGCTTTAAAATATTTTATATTAAAATAACTTAAATTGATTAGAAACAAACGTAATTCAAACACAAATTAAAACTCGATATAAATTATTTTTCACTTGGTTTCTTTTGTTACAGAATCTTGCTTCTATGAGTCTATTGAGATTTAATATCTTTTGAAGATTTCTTTTCTAATCACTGCACACATTCATCGATTCAGCCTGCTTATAAAAAGTCTCTTCAATAGATGTTAACTTTGGTACTTAAGAAGAATTAGCAAAATTCTCATAGATTTTTGCTTGATAGCGTGAGGCCTCTAGATCAGTGTGAACACTGAACAACAGTATTATTCATAGACGGCAATGTTATCTGAACTTCATTCTGTATTCTGACTCCAAATTTCCCAGTTCTGTCTGAAATTAAAAATCGATGAAAAAATAGAAAAGAAAAGATGGATGAAAGAAAAGAAAGAAAAATATTTAGAAGAGGAAAGAAGAACTGAACCACAACTTTTTCAAAAAAATTTTGAAAAAATAGTTTTATTAAATAACGAACAATTTTATTGAACAAAGTATTTTACTGAACAAGCAATTTTAATGAAAGCGCAACGTTCAGTTTAACAACTAACCCAATAAATTGTGAAAACAAATTGATTTAATTTTTATGGATTGATTTAAAAGATTAACAAAATGGCTTGTTCATGAATGATGAATGAACAAAATTACAAGTTGAACAACCCCATCTCTATCTATAACTGATATATTCATCAAAAAAGACTTTTAAAGGGACTGTACAAGTAAATTCAAGTGACCCTTTATCTGATCAATAATGTGGAAGATTGTTATTTTCAAGTAAAAGTTGAATTCACAAAATTTCCCAGTATTGAAATCTGCAAGTCACTTTAAGAGAGAGACCACAATTGAAAATAATTAATTTTCAAAGAGGATTTAATTAAAAGAGTCGCTTGAAATTATGCCTACATTCCCTTTAAATAAATAAAAAAATATTTCAAGCCAAGTTTATTTTGAAATTAACGAAAAGAAGCAAATGCATTCCACCATTTAAAATGTTTAAAATTAAGAAATTTTCCAAGAAATTTGGCAATTTAAGAAAATCTTTGCAGTATGAAGTTTTCCAAGAAATTAGTCCACCATTTTAATTAAAAGAAAATAACATTAGCTATTTTTAATATTTCTAGATATAAATCTGCCATATTTTAATTGAAAAATGTCAGCCTACCTGGAAAGGTATGAGAGGAATCTCTCGATCTCCGGCCCTGGTGACCTTCAGCTTGTCCTCCTCAGACAACTCATGATCAACACTCAGGATAGCGATCATGTCCTGGAGACTTGTTGTCCTGAAGAATTTTCTCAACTTCTTGAGCAACTCCTGTTGTGTCCATGCATACATTCGGGTAGATTCCTCTCTCGGAACATCTGAACAATAATTATTTTAAAATCAAAATTTAAACATGTTTTCCAGGTTGTTTTTCTTCCCTACAATTTGTAAAGTTTAGACACTTGCAGATAGGGATGTTAACGTTTTCTTTTTTTTGAAAATCGATCGTTTCGTTATGAAAACGACGACGAAAAATCGAAAATAAAATTATAAAAATTTGGTGTTTCATTAACGATCGTTAACGACAACCCTTCGTTAGCAATAGTTTATGACGACCCCTTCGTTAACAATCGTTAACAAAGAGAGCTGAAACCTACCTGAAGGGCTTCTGTACTTCTCATTGCAGAGTAGTTTTAAAGAAAATATCAAGAAGTTTAAACTTCCCTACAACTGTTAAACTTCATGTAAGAATACATTCAATAAATTTGCATGTAATTTTTTTCTAAAAACGACCGTTTTTATAAAGTTTGTCGTTTCGTTTACGATCGTTAAAGAAAACCCTTCATTAACAATCGTTAATGACGACTCTTCGTTAACTATCTTTTACTACTACCCTTCATTAACGATCGCTAGCGATGATCCTTCATTAACGATCGATAACATAATTGTCAATGAAATTTTTTTTCAAAAACAATCGTTTTTTAAAAACAATTGTATTAACAACCCTACTTGCAGAAGATATAAGCAAAAAACAACATGAAAACCAACCTTAACCAATTGTTTTTAATCATTTTATGTTTTTTTTATTTTTTAAACTTTAAAGATTAAGAATTTTAATTTTTTTTAATTGTTTAGGATTAAGATATTTGGGGTCCATCTTAGAATATGAATTTTGGGGTCTTGTTTGGGGTGGGGTGATGAGTGACACAATTTTACTTAAATTAACGGAAAAAATATTTTTATCAATTTTGAGAAGAGAAATGCTCTTTTTGATAAACCTCAAATTCGAAATAATAGTTTAAAATGTCCTTCTGGTCCCGACTTCATATAACCTATAAATTTACTTAAGAATGACCTTGCAAAATGATGCGACCTGAAATGACTTAACCTGACCAAAAATAACCTTATAGATTAAGGTCATTTAAGGTCGGTTAAGGTCATCTGACCTAGCTCAACCTAAAATGACCTTAATCAATGTCGCCTAAGGTCGTTTAAGGTTGGATAAGGTCATCCGACCTAGCTCAACCTAATTCAGACCTAAAACAACCTAGATTTAAGGTCGGTTTAGGTGGGTGGTTTGCAGGGTGTGTATAACTAGGAAAATTAACCAATTTCAATAGCGTAAGCTTTAGTAAGTTGGAAAAAGTGTAAGGAAGAGCTAATCCCTGGTGTGGATTGTCAGCATGGTTGATTACTGTGACACGGCTTACACTACTGAAGTATGTGAGATGTTATGTACAGCGTAAGCTGTGTATAACTAGGGGAAATCAACCCATTTCAGTAGCATAGGCTATTGGTTAAGTAGGAAAAAGTGTGGGAAAGAGCTCTTTCCTCATTAAGCATAAGCTGTGGTTTGCCAGTATATTCATACTTGTATGGCTTGTACTGTAGCATAAGCTGAATTTGTCTTGAATCAAACGTTGTAAATAAGAATGATCTTGACATCATATTATATTTTAATTTAGCCACTTGGTTGGTTATGTGTAAAAGACAAGGGTTGGTTGTTTGAATGAGCGTTGACTGACAAGCTCTGATAACTGATTGATCAGTTGCTTGATTGATTGGTGTAATGGGGGAAAACCTTGACCAGTAGACGCCATCATTAAAATATTAGTAAGAGGGGGAAAAGTAGGCGGTAAAGAATTGTTGTTGGGAAGATAGGAAGAGCGCGATTTAAAGTGTAAAATATTGGTAAAAATATGTGCATTTTACACATTCTCTAGATGAGAAAGATAGATTTAGATGTGTGAGAACATCTTAGTTGAGAAACTAGACGTTTCTTATACATTCTCTAGAAGAGAAAGCATGATTCAGATGTGTTAGGACATCAACATTTAGAAACTAGACGTATTAAACTTTCCTATACTTTCTTTAGAAGAGAAAGCATGATTCAGATGTGTTATAACATCAGCGTTGAGAAACTAGACGTTTCTTATATCTTTTTTAGAAGAAAAAGCACAATTCAGATGTGTTAGGACATTGACGTTGAGAAACTATATGTTTCTCATAATCTGTCTACAAGAGAAAGCACGGTTCGGATGTGTTAGGACATCAAGGTAGAGGAACTAGACTTTTCTTATACTTTCTCTAGGGGAGAAAGCACGATTCAGATGTGTTAGCACAACGATTTTGAGAAACTAGAAGTTTCTTTTACTTTCTCTAGAGAGAGAAAGCACAGTTCAGATGTGTGAATAAGTTTTGAGAAACATCAACTGAGAAACTAGGTGTTTATTTCACTTTCTTTAGAAAGCACGGATGGCATGTGTGAAAAATCAAAATTGAGAAACTAGACGTTGCTTATAATTTCTCTACAAGAGAAAAAAAAATAATTCGGATGTGTGACAACATTGATAGAAACTAGACATTTCCTATACAGACAAGAAAACACAATTTGGATGCTTTGAAAGAATCAATAGACATTTCTTATACTTTCTTTAGACAAGAAAGCATGATTCTGATGCTTGGATAGCATCGATAAAAACTAGACATTAGAATGGGGCGCAAATTTTGCTGGGATTGAAAAGGAAAATATATTCAGAAATAAGACCTGATTCACAGGGTGTACCACATCATATTAGAAATGAACGATGAACGATGGTTGGGAGACCTAAGCCCCAAGTTTCTAGAAGAAATTCTGCGCGTATACATTTTCGAAATGTGTACTAATAACATATAATTAGTTGGCTAAAGGTCGCCTCCTCCTAGTGATTCTGCGGAAATTCTGATAAAGTATTGATTGGCATAATTCCGAAAATAGTATTTTTTTTAAAAACCAACATAAGAAAATTAGGTTTAATTCAAAACAATAAGATGCATGAAGAGTCTGAAAGTTTATAAATTAAAAAATGAACTGAAATAACAAGACCAAATCAAAAAGGCAAAGTTAACAACAAAACAAGAAAATAAGAGAATGAGGAAAAAAGGAATAAAAAGAAAGAGGATAGAGGGTGTAAGAACACAAGGAATCGGAAAAAGAAACAAAGATCAGAAGCAAAACCAGAAGAATTGTTTACAAACTGTGATCAAAAAGTATAAAGTTAATGTTAGAATCAAATTCAAAATTTTGATTGAATATGTTTCAGAAAAAATAAGTAAACCCTGCAGATTTTTTCTGCAATGGTTTTGTAGAAACGGCTATAACTGCCAGTTTGCTCACCAGGAAGTTGTTACAGAACGAGATGGAAACATGGGCAGAACGTTTGTAAATACAGATAAATACGACTACAGAAGGAATATAGATGTTCGACAAAGGTATATACGTAAAGGGTTCAATAGAAATAAATATAAAAGTCAAACTGAAAGGGTATTACATGGGTCTATATAAAAATCAATAGGGTTAAATTTAGTGTTTCTTTATTCACTCTTTATTTTTTATTTTTTAACTTAGATTATTTTTACTTTTAAATTTATGTAATTGCTTATTTAACAGTTCGACAACAGTAGATTTTTATTTGTAAGTTTTTAATTTTATTTTAAATTTTAGGTTTTTAGTTTTTCAAATAGATAAATGGTAAAACAAAGTTGATATTAAAAGAAAAAGTCGGAAAGAGGTCAATGTACTTATGTTTTTTGGTTTACAAATGTTGGATGTTTTTAACTTTTAAACGTCAATCTTACAATGTAGGGTTTATTTTGGTTTCAATTGTTGGGTTTTTCATTTTACACTTTAAATATTAATTTTGATTTTCAGGTATGAAATATAAAAACAGAAAAAAGAACATAAGAAAAGTAAAGTTTCCCTAATAGTAGACGGAATAAAAAGGTAAATGTAAGGGTTTTTAAGAAGAAGAATGAAATGACTTTTATAAAAAAGTTAAAGAAGATTGTAGGTAAATAACAAGTCATAGAACTACATCAATAAATTTTAAATAATTAAATAATACATAAGGATTGATTCATGGAATGACCAAAGAGATGGGGGAACCAGAAGAAAAACAGATAAAGGAGAAGAAGAAGAAGTTCATACAACAAACAGAAATATAAAAGAAAGGTGATAATGGGTTTAGAAAAACACAAATTATATAACACAAGTTTTAAAACAAGATTATTAAATTAGATAAGTTCATATACTAAAATAACTTGATTAGGTCAAATGAATCCAAAGAGTGGGGAAGAGAAAGAAGCTTTAAAGACAGGAAGGTAGACGAGAGGAGAAGAAATGAAGGAGGAGAAGAAGCTTTTATCAGGAACTCAAGAGAAAGGTTAATTCAATTAAACTGTAATAAAGAAAATGTTAAAATGGAAAACAGATAAGTAATTTTTAATAAAAGAGTGTTCCATGTTAAAGTTTAGACTAGAAAACTGATTTAAATCTATACAAATTAATAAGGAATAAAGTGCAATATTCAGAGATGCTATGGTTATGTGCCTAGTAATAATATGGACGGAAAAAGAGAAATAAACTTAATTGTTTAGAAGTAATAATTCAATTTTGAAATTCATAATATTTATTTTAACTAGGATGGAGAAACTTAAAACGAGAGACAATACAACAAGCAATTGGGATTCAAACATCAGCACGAGGGAGCTTGGACTGAGGAAGAACCAAGATTACAAAGAACAAAGGAGTTATGAAAAAGGAATCTGGAATTCAAGTCAAAATGTAAGAAGAGATACCCAGAAAAGTTCGGAACCAAAGGAGGAATCAGGAGAAAGAAAGATCAATACAGGGAGCTTCAAAAATAAGAGAGAGGTAAAGGAGAAAACCAATAAAGAACTTGAAGTAAAGCTGAAAACCTTAGAGAAAGAATTGTTTGAAGAGGATTATGAACTAGAAGAAAGTAAGAAGAAAGGGAAAAAGGTGGAGAAGTATTCATCATCAGGTTCAGATCATTCAGAGAACGCTAAACAAGGAAAGATAAACTGTTTATGTTTATACCAAACTTACGACAATGATATGGTTAAATGTGTAGGATGCACAAACTTCTTGCATGGAATATGTTATGGCCTACCTTTGGAAGCAAAACACACATGTTTCTCATGCTCAAAACCGGGTACAACGTTCGGGAACCCAGAGATAATGGAATACTACAAGAAGAAACACAGAGAACGTCACGATAAACAATCTTTTGTGTTTAAGCTGAACAAGAGAAGGGTTCTAAAATCGATCCTAAATCAAGAGTTTCTGTTGTGCCAGCCAGGAACAGAACCTACAATCGAATTCCTTAAAATTCGATTCGGGTTTTCTAGCTCCTATGCTTCCCGAATCTCCCTGCAGATTGTAAATGAAGGATTCATTAAATTCTACAGAGGATTCTCTTTTGACGGTGGTAAGATAATAGAAGCTTTGGGACTTCACTATGTAGACAGCAAGGTAGAAGAAGATGAATTAAGAAGGGAAGAAGAGATGCTGATGCATGAAATCGGCGCATGCCTTAGTAGAGAACCTTATATACCAAGAAGAGATCCCAAAGATGGAAACACGAAAACAAAGGAACCTAAAAGGTTGAGCAGGTTAGAGGAGAAAGGGAAGGGGCCAAACAAAGGAAAAGGGAAGAGGAAAATAGAGTCAACGGAAGAAGTAGAAGGATCAGGGAAAAAGACGAGGGAAAATTCACCAATTGATGAATTGAGACTTAGTCTAACATCGCCAGAGATGGTTGATATTTCCGAGGAAGAACGTTTAGAAGATGAGAGAAAACACGAAAGCTTCTACAGCAGGTCTGAAACGGAAGATTCTGGTTCAGAAGAGTTAAGAACAGAGAATAGAAAGGATACAGAAGGAATCAGGGTTGAAACGAATGAAGGAGAAGAGGGAAAACTTCAAGATAATGAAAAGGAAGAGAGTACTTCGTCCGGAGGAGAAATCTCAAGGAGCAACGAACTCTCACAAACCCAAACTATGGGAGCAAAGATACACAGGGATAGGGAAGGTAGAAAATATAATAACAAGTTTATATGGCCTTCAAGATTTACACAAAGTGAATCTCTCCAACCCGGATGGGAACCAGAAAGTGTAGCGTTAGTAGGTAAAAAAACTACGAAACCTATATATGGACAGGTGATAAATAAAAGCGAACCAAAACCCAACAAGGATGATTCAGGTAAATGGAATTTCCATTGTGTTCTTGGGATGGATGGATCTTTGTGTCAAGTTTGGGTTTTCGGAAACAAAAAGGATATCCTGGAGATTGAAGGAAAGATTATAGAAGAACAGTACTTTTTGTTCTGGGGAGAATATAAAATACGTGAGAAGTATTCTTTTAAATTTAAATGCACAAACGACTGGGCAATCTACCTAGACAGCAAATGCAGGAGATTTGATACGGTTAAAAAATCCAGAAAATACATAGTTTCTGAAGACTCTAAATCTGAAGAACGGGAGATTTTTGCAGACTGATTTAAACCCCCTTCCAAGAAGGGCAAGAAGCTAAAGAAGATGAGAGAACATAACGCAGCAAGAAAGAAACTTGAGTTACAACCTGGCCAACGGAAGATAACAGAATTCGGAAAACTCTCAGGTGTTTCCAAGAGTTCGGAGGATTCTAGTAAAGAAAGCTCAGCTCTAGAATAGTTAAGTTTTGTTTTAAGCTCTTGAATAGATAAAATTTTGATTAAATTTGCAAAAGCATTGAAATCAAGAGTGCTATCTTTATTATTTTTTAACATGAAAAACGAAAAAATGAAAAAAAAAAACTATAAAATACTGAAAAAAACAAAAAAATTATTTTTTTAAAAAGAAATAAATAAAAAAACAAAAAAATATATTTACAAATTGGAAAAGGAATGTGTCTTTAAGAAGTAAGAGTAATGTTATACTTGTGGAAAAATTTAAGTTTTATAATGTTACTTTCACTACAATATTTAATGAATTTTTATAAAACCGCAATCAGTTATACATGGTTATCTGGATAAAAATTGATGTGTTTATACAAAAACAATAATTCTAAATAGTATGTCTATGCAATTAATGATTTTTCTTTGTGATCAACGTAAATGGAATATGCTGTTTTTACAATAAATTTTTGTTTAACCTTTATTAATTTTACATTGAATAATTTGATCAAGAGAAAATGTTGGGTAAAACTATAATCAAAACTTCACTGGTGTTAAGATAATTAATTGTTGAAACAGTTATATCGATTAAAATTCTTTCTAAAAGAATTTAAAATGTCATATTTAAATTTAGTTCTTAACAAAAATCAATACTGAGTAAATTTTTTTTTATTTTTTCAGAACAATGAATCCAATAGTAAGCATATTATGGATGAAAATTCAAGGGATTGGACTTGTAAACGCAAATACAGGGAGAATGATAATAGAATTAGCTGGAAAAATAGTAAGAATAATAAATAATGTTTATAAAACAGCCAAGGAATTAATTACTGGAAACAACAGTTTTAAGATATCGTCAGGGATAGATTTTGAACAAGATTGGGTTGTGTTTAAAACCAAAATTAGAGAAAAACTGAGTTTTGAACCTAGAGCGGAGTCTATCTAGCTTAACAAGAAATGGTAACGAAAATGTAATTAAAAACCTGGTAAAAGAGCAAGAACTGAAGTTGTTACAAAATTTATATAAAATGTTGAAAAAGAGACTAGAACAGTTGTTAACAAAGGTAGCCGAAAATGAAAGTATTAAAATTATTGGAAATTTGGAAAAAGAAAATTTCTTTAACATGTCTGAAAAACAAGTCAATAAAGAGGTAACAGAGTATTTAAAGTTGGGGAGGAAATTCACTCCCTTCTGCAAAATAGGGGTGCGAGAAGAACTAAGGAAATTCGAGGAAGAAATCACACAGGTGATTAATAACTTATTCAAGATGGAAGCAAAAAAGATAAATACTAAAAATATTTTTGTCAGGATTAGACTGTTACTTAAATCCAAAACTGTAAAACATTCAAAAGAATCAAAAGAATTATTAAATTCTATTTTGAGAAATTATAAAACAGAACGAATATTTTTTAAAAAATTGTTGCAGCTAAAGAATAAAATGGGGTCTCTTAAAACTGAAAAGCAAATTGTAGACATTTTTAAACCTGGAAAAAGTCAGATAATAGTTGCAAGTGATAAAAATATAGGTTATGTGTGCTTGGATAAGGACGATCTATTATCACAATATTTAAAGATAAATGAGAAACAGCATTTCGGGAAAGCTAACATTACAGAAACTTGGTACATTAAAAATGTTTTAAAATTTCTAAAAGAGGCAAGTCTAAATATACCTTTAGAACTAGAAAATATCGTTAAAAAAAACGATTTTAATTGGATAGAAAAAACAGCTGAAATTGGAACACTGAGATTGATGCCGAAGCTTCAAAAGTTAAAAGAAATTAGTAAAAGTACTGTAGAAAATCTTACGTGCAGAGGAATTAAAAGTTTTATGAAAGATCCAATCAAGAGATTACAAATAACTTTTGACAAAATATATAGTCACTTATTATATTTTGTGGAAAAAGAGTTCTCTAGACTAAATGGAATTCTATCCCCATCTGTTACAGGTATTGATGAAGCAATTGAAAGGATCGAAAAATCAAAAACAGGATTTTGGGGTTTATCTATAGAGATAGAAGGAGACTTCGGGGATTTGTATTCGAATTGCAACAGAAGTTTATTAGAAAACTGTATAAATAAAGCCTGTAAAATTGCGGGTTTAAATTCTGAATCGGTATGTTACATAATTAATTTAATGAGATGCTCAATGAATCATTCGTATTTTAAAGAACCCACAGGAATATTTAAGACTCTATAAGGATTTTCAATGGGAGACAATTCAGCTGCAAGGGGGAGAGAACTTATTTTGAGAAATCACGAACTGGTTATCTTTAAGAAAATATATGAGAAAAAGTAACAAAAATCTTTATCTCGGTATTTAAGATTCAGGGATGATGTATCAGTACATGTTCATGGTGACGAAAAATTGATGTTTAAAATAATTAAGATAATTGTAACAGGATACCCTACAGCAATTCAGTTCAATGTCGAAACAAAAGTTGTTTACGGGAAATTTTTAAATATAAAAATAATTAATTTCCCAGGAGAGAATTACCCATTCACAACAGTACTAAGAAAAGAAAATTCCAAATACGATGTTATCCCTTTTAATTCCAATGTTAGTGATAAATATAAGAAGATGGCAGGATTGTGTTATTTCCGAACAAACAGAACACACACGACCAGTAAAAAAGAATTAGAAAACCAAAATAGAATAGTAGAAAGTTTATTAAGAAAGAAAGGTTTTCCTATTAGATTTATCCAAGA